ATAATGTATACATTGTAAAATTAGGATTCACAGAAGTGAAACAGACAGATGCCACATCTTTTATTTGCAAGATAGCAATCACTTCACTATTACCAACTGGCTTAGGCAGTATTTCTTTTCCAGAAGCAAACAGATCATTTGCAGAATGCTTTTGCTACATTCTTCTGTATTCTTGAATTCCTCTCTTGTCTATAGTTGAAGTTTTCCAAAATGTTTGTATAGTTGAAGTGAACAGGAAAGAATATAAGTCACTGTCCCTTTGAAAATGATTCTTCAATTAAACCAATATTCAAGTTCTGCAAAGCCCAATATTTTCTTGTCTATTATTCCATGCCCTTTTCAGTTCTTCTATCTAAATTATGGTAACTTGCTTCAAATACATCTCCTGGTTTCTATTGGAGTTCCACTCAAAATACTCTGGATACTATGTTCAGATTAATCTACAAAGATGCCAATTTATTCATGATTTAAAATTAAGGAGAAATTTTGGATTATCAAGTCTCCACATACCCCTGGACTGGCATTAACGATTCCATGTCAAATGTTTCCAAACAGCTTTCTGAACAAAGGCTATTGAACTGATTTGTGTTAAACCCATGCATTGCTCCAATTTTACTTCTGTCTGCCTGTCCCATGCTCCTCCCCTAGCAAGTTCTGGACTGCACTGAAGATACTAGTACTTTTTATACTAGCTGCAAAAGTATATAGAAATCATTCCTCACAACAAGCAATTGCACTGAATATTCTTCAAATCCTTGCTCTTCTTCAGCAAATATATTAAACTGCATACTTAGTAATAATAATATATATAAATATTAAGGACATGGTCATTTACATATAGAATAAATATATACAATATCTTACCATGTTTTATTATAGCAATACTTTTAAAACATAAGTAATGAATGACTGGCTGAAAAAAGTATTTTAACTGGAGAAAAATGAGCAAGAACTCAGTCTTCTATCATGACTATAAAGAAGAATATGTAATTTATAACAATTATATAAAACAATTGTAATTTATAACAATATATAACATATATAACAAATGTATAACAATTATATATAACAACAATTGTGATACAAAATGTGTATTTTTACTTCATAATTCCCTGATTAGAGAGTTGAGCGTATAAGAAAATTTGATAGTAAATCTATAAACTAACAAAATTTCCAGCTTGGTAATCATGACTCTCAACCCAATACCATGCTTTATTAATCGCCCCAACCTGTTTCTATGCTACCTTGTGTGCATTACAGTTACAGTACTTATTTTAGCAATATATAGAGGGCAATACTTCTTTGTTTTTAAATTCCTGATAATTACTACATGATGAATTTACTCAAAGCTCTATTGACCGGGTGACCAAATGAATAGGATAATTACATGCCTTTTAAGATATCATGACGTAAAATGACAAGTACATAGAAAATTAAGATATTATATTCAATAAAATATCCTATTTTCCAAAGGTGACAATCAAGAAGTCATACTCATTATGCAACTTTATGTTACAATGCAAATAGGAAACTATAAAACGCTAAAACCTTTTATTAGCAGAAACTATAATTGTGTGTTTCAAATGGATTCAAGTGATGTTTATGCTGTTTGTTGTATTCAGATAACATAGAAAAAGTTCCACTTTGTTCTTATTTTCTTAAATGTCAACGAAAGCAGACTAAATAACCTTTTCTACTCTCCTCTTAAGTAACAAATGAAGCAAATAATTAGAGACTGCTAGGTGTCCACAGAGATTAAACAGTTTCCTAGTTTAGCCTAAAATATATAAGCTTCAGAATATGAAGATTTTGTGGAATCTTTTCTTCCTTAAATTATGTTTTTAGCTCCTTGTGATATATTTATAATTTTTAAATTCCTTATACCAAGTGGTTCTGGAATTTCAGAACTTTTTCCTAGATACATTGAAATGTTTTGTAAACAGAGTACATGTGTAAACAAGGAAATTCTGAGAAAATGTTATTCAACTTAATTATACACAATGTAGTTTAACCACAACAGTCAATCATATAAATAGGGAAATTGAAATAAATTTGTCTTAGTTTAACAACTTTATTTGTCTAGATTTAACAAGACAGCAACAGTTTTATAATTAAGATAGGTAATATGGAGTCTAAAAGAATACAACATTAAAATTATAAAATAGGACCAGCAATGTGACTGAGTTACAGAATGTTTGACTACCATGCATGAGGTTGTAGGATTGTAAGCCCAGCAACACACACATGCACACACACACAGACACACATGTACACACACACACTGTTGATAACATGTATAACAAAATTAGTATTCTTTTGAAGAAGATGACTTCATAAACATATAAACATTATTCTTAGAGAAAATCTACACTTTTATAAAACTTACTTTGCTTAGGCCACATTCTTAACATACCTATTCGAACATCATTCAAGCTACACTGTGTGTGTTCAAGGTTCTAAGATGATGTGGGAGATTAAAAAGCCACATTCATGTAATATAAAATCATAACTGAAGTATTTTTCACACCAAAAATAATGATTTTTAAAATGTTAATTCTTATTGTTTCCTAAGATAATGATCATATACAAATATACATACATGGAAAAGAATAAATTAAATATTCTAAGATAATATAGAAAAATAAACTAATTGATAGTGGTACTTTTGCTTCCAGTTATTAAGCAGAGACTTTTTAAAGCTTTATAACCTTTTAATTATGCACAAAGTATTTTTGCACTATTATTCTGAAATGTTGAGTGTAAGTTGCTCACTGAAACAAATATTGTTTATTGAAGTTATTTTGCATGTAAAGATATTTTTTTTTTCATCCAAGTGCTAAATGTAACAAGCATGATAGTAAAAAAAAAAAGAGAAGTATGTGTACATGATCTTTTTTAACTTCTTATATCAACTGACATCACCTTTCAGGTTACACTGGCAGAGTAGAACAATACTGTTACGCCTGAATCATCGTGTCAATTTGAGAAGTCTAGAAGCTGAACTACCAAGCAACTGAGCAGTTCTACCAAGCAACTGAGCAGTTCTACATCCTAGGGTGCAGAGGACATGCACTTATCACTCTAGGATATTATTTATCATCTCAACTTGAGAATTTTAGAAATTTAGGGAGCCAGGATCCTCACTTTGTAAACATCTGAGCCTGTGCAAGAGGAGGGCAGAGAGATGGTGAGTGCTACACCCACCTAAGAGTGGGTAGTCTGTCTGCAATATGAGGCCTCATGCGTGCTATTCAAATGAAAGAAGGAAAAAGAAAACAAATGAGAGGGAAAAAAGATTAAATGCAAGGCTTTTATAAATAAGGAAGGGGAAGAAGTGGAAGAAAGGCAAGAGGAATGAGAAAAAAGGAACAATCAAGATATATCATGTACAAGTACAAACTCTCTATGCGATCATTATGTACATCTAAATAGTACCAATAAACAGTAGCCATTAATTTTCCACAAAAATTTTCTATTTCTGCAAACACTAAAAGATACATCAAAGTTTCTCATCCATAGCAAGATACACTAAGTTAACTTATCAATTAGACTAGTACATCATAATAAAGCACCCTAGAATAAAGAATATACAAATAGAAAAAAAGATCCTAAGAATAAGGAACCTCAAAAACCAGTGCTATGACAACTAAATCTGTTAGTTTCAAAAAACTGAGTAAGGAAATGGATTTGCTTGAGGGCTCTGGTTCATAGCATCAGAAATGTTTTCTTCTAACAGTTTGGAGGGTCTAACAATTCCTGGAAAGGCCAGTATAAACAATAGACTCACTCGATATAATGAAGAAGGACTTAACCTAATTTTAAAACTGCAAGGAAAATGTGATTCAGTAAAATGGATCATGTAAAGGACAAGAGTTTTGAAATGAAAACAAAGATATAGTGAAAAATATGTCTAGAAGTTATTTTGTAAAAATCAAGGCTAGGAGTAACACAGACAAAGTAATCATGGTGAACTAAGTAAAATTAAATAGTAAAGATATAAGACATAATAAACTCTTAAAACATTCCTTTTGAAAAAGGAATCCTTGCATAATCTTGCCTATCAGTGTAAGAACTGCCACACATGTTTTTGGAGAGAGTCCTGCTGAGGAACAGCTGGCTGTCAGACCATACTACATGCTCCAGCTGCCTGACAGGCATCAGTACCCTCCATTTTTACCAAGAACTCAGGTTTATCTACTCAGAAACATGGTCAAGGTTCTACAGCTAAAAATGATGAACTCAGGTTGTCTGGACCTACTTGGAAGTTAGCTATGCTTGTACTTTTTTTTTTTTTTTAATAAAATATAGTTAAAGGAAATTTACATAGTATGCACATGAAATGTTATAGACCACAGATATGATATATGTTTCATATGTACACAGGTATATCATACATATTTGCAAAGATGCACACATAATTTATTCTAAATTAGAAAAACAGAAGAATAATATCTAATTCACTGAAAGTTGACATCATGGTGATTGTAATGTACGAGTCCCTGTGTATCAGGGAGTAGGAAACCAGTTTCATGAGTAAGCACTGTAAACACAAGAATTTAGAAAAGATAATTGTGTCGGATAAGCAAAACCAAAATATTTAGAGAGCGTAGGAATCCAGTAAAAAGTAATACAGCAGATAGTTTGCTAACAATGGACAAAATATGGACAAGAAAGAAGGATCTTACATAATCAGTTCCTCTCGAGAGGAGTGCTAACTGTTAAAATCAGTCTTGAACTCTGAGATTGGAGGGATTTCATTGCTAACTACATTTCTGCCACATTTGAGGTATTCTGCACACACAGTGTTTGCTATGGCAGTAGAAAATTAATAAATTGATTTCAAAGTTCTATAAGTAACCCAGAGTGCTTTGTATAAAGCAATATGATTGTTGATATAGAAAACACATTCTGTAATTTTTACATCATGATTAGAAAAATTAGAACAGCCAAGTACTCACAGGAGGAAAAAAAAAAACAAAGACATCGATTGAATATCCTACCTGCCGAATTCCCAGGCGGTATGCGACAATTCGATCCACTGCGTCAGGGTTCATTTGTGTCCACTGCAGGCTGTAGGAATAAACACGGTGTCTGTTCTGCCACACGGGGTTGTAGGTGTCATAATAGAATTCTGGAGCGTAGGCTTTTCCTGAAAACAGAAATGGCACTTAACTGTGAATGCTGACAGCTAAGATTTTAAACATACTTGTTATTGTTTTTGATTCTCTTATAAGATTTTCCTGCTTATATCATAGGTAATTACTCTATTTGAAAAGTCATATTAATCAAATCTGATCAGAGTTGTGGTATGTTTTGAGAGTAAATGTTAGCAGGATTGTCTGATAGAGCAATGTATGAAAAAAAAGAATCAAGAATGTATGAAAAAAAGGAGAATCCAGAATGAGTCCAAGGTTTGAGGCCTAAGCAGTTTGAGGCATATGACTCCTATCAGCTGAGATGGAAAGCTATGCGTGGATCAGACTGGAGAGGCAGAGTTTATAAAATGATATTTGAAAAATTGAGTGATTTCAATGGTGATGTCTAATATGCAATAAAATATACCTGCTCTGAGATACAGAAGTGGAGGCACACAGATTTAAAGTCATGAGAAGGATGACTTTCACCAAGAAAATGTGAATAGACAGAAACAGCCTAAGGTCTGAGCACTGCACAATTCACAGTTCAGAGTTATGGGGAGAGACAAGGAAGGACCACACAGACTCCTGAGATGGAAAACCATTGAATGGAAAGGAACAAAACAAAAGAAACGTGCTATAGCAAGAAAACAAAATGTGCCATCTCAAGGTCAAATGTATTAGAAAGGGAATGATCGATTCTGCTGAAAAAATCGTGAAAATTAAAATTTCTGCATTAGCTGTGCCTTTGATTAATAAACTAGAACTTTAAACTAAAACCTGTGATAGAAGTTAGAATTTAAATGGAAGTACTTACGTCAAGTACCAGGCCCCCAAAATACATAAGTAGGTAATTATGAAACAAGAATCCTATGTAGCATTTCTAAAACCATATTCACAATTGAGTACTCTCAATTGCAACCTTACACAATGACTGTCACAAACTTATATGGAAAACTTTCCCTCAGGATATCCGCTCCACAACTCTGTTTAGCCTTTGACTAATACCACTCTTGCTATTAATCCTTGTAGCCAAACAACATTACTGTTTCAAAATATCTTATGGAATCTTCTTCATCTTGCCTTTAAAGCTTACCTTTGACTCAATTTTTCCAGTACTCATGGTTTAATGCAGTATGCACATTTTAATTGTAATGCTCTGCTCTTTTCAAATAAGTACCATTTTTTAACGCCAATTTCCCTCTAATTGTGTTTTAGGTCGACCAAATATTGTTTCAGCAGTCATGAACGTGTTTAATCAAAATAAAAGGAGGCCTTATTTAGATTTTAAAGAATTGCTAAGTCCATATAATTTATGTAACATACAAACCATGTCAATTTTTTGTCCCAAAGTCCAAAATGAAAACCACTTGGAATGATAAAATCAATTTTCTAAATTCTAAAATATGGATTTTTAGTACTTACAATAAACTTATTGAATAATTTAACAATATTTATGGAGAGCCTCATAAGTGCCAAGTACCACGTGAGGAGTTCGGAGATATAGTGAATGAGACAATATGGCTTCATTCCTCATGGAAATTGCTTACATTTTCTCAGACTGTTCAAATAGCTTTGCAGATCTTTGCAATGTCACTGACTAAGCTGATAAACTGTCTATTTATTGTCACTGTTTCCACATGTTTTCTGTGGTGTTTCCTGTAAAATTGGATCGAACATAGACTGTGTTCCTGGGTTTCTCACCATGTTTAGAGTTCTCTCATCTGGTTTTGCTTATGTCTTCATTATCAGTCAATACATTTCCACTGTCATTTGGAAAAGCTGATCCATAACAACTTACAAAATAATTCAAGGACAAGGTTTGAACAGTAAGATTAGAAATAGCGGTCTCTATTACCCTGGAGAGTTTCACCAACGATGTCAGATGAACTGAATTGACAATTTGTCAGGTTTACAACGGAAACTACACTGAATAAATATGTAACTACAGTGATCCTTGGCAAAGTGCCCTACATCAAATTGCATGTGTTTTTTGAAAAATGTTCTATGAATAAGTTGAATGGAAAATGAACTAACAATCATATACAAAGTAACTTAACATTTTAAAAGTGTCTAGAAAAGAACCATTAACTCTTTTTATTCCTTTATCTCACGGTAGCATTTTATTTTCTACTAAGTTCGTTTACTACTAAGCATAAATTCATGATCTTAACACTTAAAAGTCCAGAAGAGAGCAAAACAATATAGTGAATGGAGGAATCAGTAGCCAAAACACAGGTGATAATTTGTATTTGAAAGAAAATTTCTCAATATGTAAGTGAGGAAATGCATTTTCTAGTAGTTAAGACAAAGAACTGGAGGTTTTGGATAAAATATATATACCTAAGACTGGAGATATAGCTGAATGGTAAAGCACTTGGCTATACACATGAAGTCTTGGATTTAATCATCAGTGCCATGAAAAACAAACAAACAAACAAAGAAAAAAAAACGGCAGAGAAACAAAAGGATCTAATATCTAAAAATAATGAGCTGGTTAAAGGATAAATGGAAGCTCAGTGCTTCCTTAGAAAACTCATAGCCAGACTGCTTTGGCAGGCAAGAGTCTACTGAACTTTTCTTCACCATGGAAGGTGAGAGTTGCATTTTTTTTTTTTTAATTCGGCCAAGAAGAAAACATGATAGATACAAATCTCAGCACAGTTTGGACTTTCTTAATAAAGAGCATGATAGATTAAATTAAAATAAGGAGATAGAGAGTCATAATTAGGAAATCCTAAATCTGGAAAATGAATCAATGTTCTCAAAAGTAGGGCAAATGGTTTTCTAAGTGTTGAAAAACTATCACAGAGAAAGGAACCCAGAATAAATATTAATTTCACTATGAAATAAGATGAATACTAGTGACTGCCTACTAGAAGCACATGATTTTAAGTTAAAAATATTGTATCAATGATCTTTGAATAAAGAATGGTTTAGTAGAATAGACCATGAATCCCTTCAGTAGAGGAGTTTAGTTTAGTTTATCTATTAAAGCGAGCCATTTAGCAGGGGGTGGAATAGGTAATATTGCAAATGGGGGCATTAAAGGACTATTACATTCTTGAATGTGCAGGATGTAATGAAAAGTTGTTTTATTCCCAAGTAGTATTTGATATTTTAATCTCAGATTAAACATGGCCTAAATCAAATATACTAACACTTATAAATTATCTCATGACCTCATAAACAGTATTTCTCTTGAAAGATCATACATTTATTTTAAAGAATAATGCTTTACCCAATCAAGTATACATGAATGTGAATTTATCTTTAAGGAGAAGTGCAAGAGTTAAGATATATTAAAAATATCCAAGCTCATTTAAAGCAAAGAAATGCAGATTATGCATTTTGAAATAACTTAAAGAGTCTAAAATTTCTCTTTTGGTATTGTCTCCAAGTTTGTGTAACACAAGAAATCACAAACATTCCTAGAGTCACAGAGCCTCTCTGATGATGACAGCAGTATGTAGGATCCCAACTGTCATTGGGGCAAGAATAGAAGAGGACACACAAGGGAGGACACACTTCCATCGTGCACTTTTAAGTGGGCTGCCAGGGAATTAGCTGGCTGCTCTTCATACGTGAAAGTCTCTTTAAACCTAGGAAAACTGCTTATCTAAATGACTACTTTTAAGGTTATGAAACATTTTGGCTCTGAAAGTAACAAAAAAGATCCTTATGATCTTTTCAATCATCTAAATTTGTTGGTTACTGCCTACTTTCAAGGTAGTAAATAATAAACCTTTGTAAATGTTACAAAGCATTCTAATTGTACCATGAAACCCCATGATCATCTTCATAGTTAATTGTAGGCTATTCAAAATGCTTTCTAAAATGTTTTTAGAAATTAATTCATCATTTGTTGTATAAATCACATATGATAAATTTTTATGGAACATTAAAATATGTTACAGATTGATTGTAAGTTTTAAATTACAGATAAAGTAATTTAGGGACAGAGTGGTGTTGGTAATGATATACGGTAGATATATAAATGAATAATTGAATGCAATATGGTTTATTATAAATTTTGATCCTGAGTCATAAAATTTAAAATGTAAAAGTTTTTTGTTAAAAAATCATTTATATGATGACTAGTTTTAACTATTAATAAATACTAAATCAGACATCATTTTAATTATGATTATAGATTTGCTTATTAATATCTCAAAGCATACTGAATTTTTTTGGAAAAAGCTTAAAAAGTAAAAAATTTGATTTCATTTTGTATATTATGTAAAATGCATCTTATAATTTTACAAAGCACAGATGAATTTCATTCTCTTATTTTAATGTCAATCATATTCATGTTTACATACTACATTTGTAAGAAGCATAGTAATACCAAAAAAGTATCTTAAAATAATTTTAGGTCCTAACAATCAAATGAGACATCTGCTGGTGGAGCAGAAAAAGATTTCATAAAAATGTTTTTCCCTTCTTTTTTATACTTAGGCACTTTTATTCTACTTCTAGCAATAATGCTAAGAAAATATTCTTACTGTCACATTCTGGTTTTATTTTTATACAGCATTGCTCCAGTTTAAATCTTTTTATATAAACTGACCTAGAACTACTTTCTCTATCTAAACTGGGAAATAATTTTTAGATACATTATGCATGAATATATATGAAGCTTGAATTGTAAAATATTCTTAAAATATATAGATAGAAAAATTGGGTAACAAATCATTGCATAGAATTTATTTCAAAAGTATGTATTTTATTTTGCATAAAACTTTTAAAGTAATTACAATGAGGTTTGAAAATATAATTTATGCATAATGTTAAAAAACTAAAATTATTTATTCACACTAAAGCTATTTTACATGTATTTGGCTTTGTGAATAGATTTTAATGTTGTCAGTACAGGAAAAGGTTATAATTGTAGTCAAGCAACATATTCTGCTTTTGGAAAGCATTTGCCACTTTGGAAAATAGTTTATACGAAGATAAACAAAATAGTTTGCTTTGGGAAAAAACGTATTTATAGAGTATGTTTGCATTATTA